AACTGAGGGCTGTCCCAGACTCTGTGCCTTCCTGTTACCTGCAAGGATACCGCCGAGACAGCCGCCTGAAGACCTTGTTGCAGCCCACACAGTGTCCAGGGGCCACAGTGGACCGCTGCTGGAGCCTCTGCCACTGATGGTCCTTCTCCCTGGTGGACAGGGTGGAGGTTGACACAGAAAGACGAAGAGAAAGCGGGGGGGGGGGGGGGTGATGGAGGAGAAAGGGCCTCACATTGGCCTGAAGCTTTCCAAGTCGGTGGGGCTGGCTAGCCAGTGAGTCCCATGGATCTGTCTGTCTTTGCTTCCTTAGCACTGAGATTGATTATCTGGCCTTAGGGGATTGAATTCCAGTCCTCATGTTTGCATGGCAAGCACTTTCCTGGCTGACCTAGCTCTCTAGCCCTCATCAGTGTTATGTGATGTGATTTGTGAGTGTGTGTATGTGTGTGTGTGTGTGTGTGTATGCAGACATGCAGATATGCAGATAAAACATTCATATACATAAATAAATATTTAAAAGAGCACATGGGGGCTTATGAGATGGCTCATCGGGTAAAAGTACTTGCCGCACAAGCCTGACAACCTCAGGCTGATTGCTGGAATCCTCACAGATGTGGAAAGGAGAGGATGGACTGCACAAAGTTGTCCTCTGATACATGTGCCCCCACCATGCACGCACACACACACACACACACACACACACACACACACACACACCAATAAACAAAAAGTGTTTCCATAAAAATCAAGCTGTAAAGGAGGGGTTATATAAAAAGCCTGGCCACCCTCCTACCCTTCCATTTCCAGTGATAAACCATTTCTCCTTCCACATTTAAGTAACAGGTTCACATACTTCCTTTGGTAGAATATGTTCTCTATGGAGCTTCATCCCTTGACCGAGGAGGAACCATCTTATTCCACCCAGTCCTCCTTCCTCCCAGTGTGGTCAGGTTCCTAGTTTGGGTTCCTCTGTCAGTTACTCTTGTCAATTCGCAGGATATAATAATTCCCTATTCTCCTTCTGTTATCCATGAGCAATCCCTTGTGGCTTCCATTCTGCTCCCCACTTCCCTTCAGCTTCCCACCCCTAACTTGTCGCCTCCTAAAGCAACTGGTGTGGAAGCCACTAGCCATGAGTTTGCTTTCGTGTAAATCAAATAAGAGAACATCAGTTGCACCAGCTCAGTATCTCAAGCTTGCATCACATCAGAAAACAAAGATGTGGGGCAGGCTCATACTCACAGAACACGCTAGTTGAATCTTTTCCATTGTCTAATATTACTTTCACACTCCATTTTTGTGTGTGTGCATCTTCATCTGAGGTGGATATGTACATGTGTGTCTGTGTATGTGCACATGCATGTGTGTGAAGGTCAGAAGTCGCCCTCCACCCTTTTTTTTTCCTCTGAGTGCAGGCTGGCCTTGAAGTCACAGGGATCTGTCTGTCTGCCTCTGCCTCCGGAGTGCTGGGATTAAAGACCTGCACCACCAATGCCTGGCACCTCCACTCTTTTTTGAAGCAAGGGTTTCTCACTGAGTGTGGAACTCACTTATTGGGCTACCCTGGCTGGTTAACGAGCTCTGTGTATGCCTTCCTTCCCCAGTGCTGAGGTTTCAGGTGCACACCGCCATGCCTAGCTTTCACCCTGGGTGCTAGGGGCTAGGGGATCTCAGCTTAGGCCCTCATGCTTTTGTGGCAAGTACTTTACTGACTGGCCATCTCTCCAGGTTCCACACTCTGTTTTATCATTCCAATCTTCCTCCCTTCCTCCCTCCTTTCCTTCTTTTCTTCCTTCCTTACTTAATTTCTTTCTTTCTTTCTTTTTTAAGACAGGGTTTCTGTGTGTAGCCCTGGCTGTCCTAAAACTCACTCTGTAGACCAGGCTGATCTTGAACTCAGAGATCCTCCTGCCTCTTCCTCCAGAGGGCTGGGATTAAAGACATGTGCCACTTACTGCCCAGTTTCCCATTGTCTTTTGTGCATTATCATGAGACAATATTCTAGCACTGAAGAAGGCTAATCCTCTGGGACAGGAGTTACAGACAATTGTAAGCTGCCTTTTGGGTGCTGGGAATTAAACCTGGGTCCTCTTGAAGAGCAGCCAGTGCTCTCAACCGCTGAGCCATCTCTCCAGCCCTCTAAGTGTCTTTCTTGACTCATTGCATCACCTGCTTTAGCATTCTATTTTCCCCTCTCATCATTATTATTACTATTACTGCTACCACTACCATCACTATTGTTGCTCACAGGTTGTTTTCATGTAGTCCAGGCTGGTGATTTTCCTTCCTCAGTTTTCCTTGTATTGGTAATTCAGGCATGCACCACTCACAGTGCCTGATTTGTGCCGACTCCCCTGAACCCTTCATCACAGCGAGTGTTCTGATTCTTGCACTCTGCACCTTCGTGCTGATCCCCTTTTCTTTCTCCTCTATGGGACTGCTGTCCCCTGAATCACATCTTCTCCTTTCTTGGCTTACTTCCTTTTTTGTTTCTGGAGCACATCCTCAGTGAACTTCTTAAGAAGGGCTGTGTAGGAGTTGAGTTTTCTGAGACCTGTCTGATTAATGCCTTTGGCCATCACCTTATGCTTTATCTGGACATGGAATTCTACTTCAAGAGTAGGCTTTTCGGAGAACTTGGGAGTACTACACCACAGACACTGACACATGTTGAGTCCTCTTATCCTTACGTGCTTTGTGTCTTCCTCCAGATAATTGGAAAATAATGTTTCTCTTCGCTTTTGTGAAACTTCACAGTGCCAAATCTAGGTATGAACAGCAAATTTCCCCTTTTGTTTATTGTGCTGCACATTCAGTGAGGTCTAGAGTCTGTCAGGGCCTGAAATGCATATTGTGATATTTGATAACCTACTTAATTTTAGTTTCTTCTTTTGGAAGCATCTGCCAGTTGGAGAGGGTATTAGGACTCCTAGACTGGCACGCATGTGTGCGTGTGTGCCACACACACACACACACACACACATACACACGCGCGCGCACACACACACGCACGCACACACACACACACACACACACACACACACACACACACACACTGGCAGGTAAATGTACATATATTCATGTACATGCATGTGAAGGCCAGAGGTTGACATTGGGCATCTTCCTCAATTACATTCCACCTTGCTTTTTTGAGACCGTGTCTCTCACTGAAGGGAGAGCTCACCTATTTGGCTAGATTAGGTGGCCAGTGAGCCGTGGGACACTCATGCTCTCTCTAGCACTGAGTTTATAGGCATGCTATGCCTGATTCTTAGCATAAATGCTAGGGACCTTAACACTGGTCCTCATGATTACATGGCAAGCTTTTCCTCACTGAGCCATCTTCCTACCCCCTACCCACTGATTTCTATTTTTCCATGTCTCTTGTTACTTACACCTGCTTTTATCCTGTCCCTGGGAGCCTGCTTTTAACTAACTAATTAATTAACTAATTAATTTAGTTAGTCAGTTAGTTTTGTTTTTTGAGACAGGGCTTCTCTGTGTAGCCCTGGCTGTCCTGGAACTCTGTAGACCAGGCTGGCCTCAAACTCACCAAGATCCTCCTGCCTCTGTTCCCCTCTCCCCCACTCCCTGCCCCCAGTGCTGGTGTGCACATCCACATCTGGCTTATCTTTATTTTCTAATCCTTTTGGTGAATTGAACAAATCAATAATCATTTTTTTTTCTGAGACAGGGTCTCACTACAGCCCAGGCTGCTAATCCTTTTGGCGAATTAAACAAATCAACAATCATCTGTCTGTCTGTCTATCTATCTATCTATCTACCTACCTACCTACCTATCTATTCTTTTTCTGAGACAGGGTCTCACTACAGCCCAGGCTGCTAATCCTTTTGGTGAATTAAACAAATCAACAATCATTTGTATGTCTGTCTGTCTGTCTGTCTATCTATCTATCTATCTATCTATCTATCTATCTATCTGCCTGCCTACCTACCTACCTACCTATCTATCTATCTATCTATCTATCTATCTATCTATCTATCTATCTATCTACCTATCTATCCTTTTTCTGAGACAGGGTCTCACTACGGCCCGGTCTGTTGTAGAACACACAATCCTGCTGCCTCCACCTCCCCAGTTCAAGGATGACAGGCCTGAGTGTGTGCACACACGTGTGGTCAGAGGACAGCTTTCAGGGACTGTTTCTCTCGTTCCACTCTGGGTTCCGGGTCTCTGTTTCAGGTCATCAGGCTTGTGCGGTAAGCGCCTTTATCTGCCCACCTTAAATCATTTGTTAGTTTCCTCTAAGCTGACATTGGTTTCTTTTCATTGTTACAATGTGAGTTCTACACGCAAGAATTTAGTTGTGGATGCCTCCAGCAGCCTTCTCATTTCGTGGAACCTGAGACCAGTGGTGCCGGTCCTCCGGGCTGCATGGAAGGAGTGCACACGTGTGTGAGCGCCCCTGTCTATGGAGGTACACATGTGTCTGTTACCTTCCTACCTGACTGAAGGGCTAGTGTGCTTCACATGCCTCCCCCACCTCGGTGGGCCTGGAGGTTTGAAATAAACCCTGGTGAGTGTAGTCTCTGCCACCTAGAACAGCTGCTCCAGGCTGGACCCATAGGCCCAGAGGCCTAAGGAAGTTCAGTAGGCAGGTGGTCACTTCTCTACGTTTCTCCCTCCTTCCAGTCCCTTCTAAACTCTTGAGCCGGTTGAGAGGGGATCTCTTCTAACCATAATGGGAAACCAAGGGCAGTTCTGGAGACGAGAGCATGCATGATTGTCAGAGGACTCTGTGGTTTACATGCTGTCTGTCTTTAGTGGCCACATCACACTGACCCTCAGTTTCCTCCTCTGTAACATGTGACATGTAATTAGTGACAGCATGAGGTCACTAACAGAAGGAAACAAGTTCACATATGAAAGGTCTAGAACCTGAGAGTTGCTAGTGGTGTGGTCTTCAAGCCTGACCTCCACGGTGCTTACTCACCCTCTTCCTTTCCATACCAGTCCCCGCTCCCAGTCCCATTCTTACCGAATCAGTTCCAACACCCTCATTTTCATGGCCCGGACCAGGTCCTTCTGCCCTTCCAGCTCCTTCTCGTACATGGCATCTCTCCTCTCGGCCTCCTGCCGCTCCTGTTCCAGTATCACTTGAAGCTGGGATCTTTCGGCCTGACACCTGGGAACAGGAGACCCAGTTAGGAGAAAGGCCTGGAGCCTGGAGAAGCTGGCCTACATATAGGTACAGCATCTACATACACAAACCCAGAGGCATGTAACACACATACATTATACACCGTATGTACTACATATTGCACACACTACAAATACCCATCATTTCTCTGAAGCGCGTGTGCACGCATGGGCACACACACACACACACACACACACACACACACACACAATGTGTGTACCATACACCAAACTGAGCACCTAGAGACAGATTCAGCAACCAAGGAGAAAAAGAAACAGGGCCTAACCTTGAGTGTTCCTGTAGAGGGCACTACTGAGCTTTTCCTTCCCTCCTTTCTGCCCTCCCTCTTCCTTTCCCTCCCTCCTTCTCTTCCTCCCTTTCCCCTTCCTTCTTTCCCTCCCTCCCTTTTAACATTTCCACTTTAAAATGTAACTCTCTGAGAAGTATACTTATGAGAGACCTGTCTGAAAGGAGAGTGAATGCCTAGCAATCTAGGCTGGGAACACTATGACCAGCTGAGAACAACTTCATGTGGAGGGGAGAGGTGGAGGCTTTGGGGTGATCATTTTGCTTTAAAGTATTTTTAGAAGGTATGTTATATTGCCTTTTCAGTTTAAAACGCAATGGGAAAAATAGGGCTTTCCTAAATTTCTGTCTCTGTTTTGGGTTTGGAACTGCTGCAGCTCTATTCTTGACTTCTCTTGTTTGTTGTTAGTGGTTTTCTAGAAGGTTCCAAGAAGTTGACTAAACTGAAAATAGGATAGTCCAAGCTTCTCACTCTGTGATCTGGTTGGGAGTGTATACCAGCCAGTAGTGGGTAGATGTTAGGGAGTTCTGGAATCAAATCCAGGGCCTTTGCATGCCAGGCAGACACTCCACCAATTGAACTATACCCTCGGCCCTTGAACTATTGACTTTTAAAATACAGCTGGTTAGCGGGTCCCAAGACTGAAAGATGGGTGCACCAAGAATGGAACTCCAAAAAGGCCTAACAGGCCTTATCTGCTCTTTTCTTAGTTGATGACTTCTAGGCTCCTGTAGAGGGCGCCAATCAACATTTTCCTCCTTTGGTTGTTTTGATTGGTGAGCCTAGGTCCTTATGAGACCACCATGGGGGGGGGGTGTTGGTTAGGTGGGAGGGAAACCTATCAGGCCCCTACTGAGTGCTGGTAGCTATTTTAGGTGCTTACACCCATGGCTCCCATGGGACTTAAGGTAATAAAGCCAAGTTTAGTGACAGACCCCACTAGAGGCCAAGATGGAGACTATAGAAGGTGCTGGGGGAATTAGCTTAGATAATATGGCATTGAAGTCAGCCTTGCAAGTCTGCGAGGTGGAGTGGTCTGTCTACCTGGGTGGCTGAAAGGGGTTACTGGGCAGGGATTCCAGGAAGAGGTAAAGGAAAGCCAGAGACCTTGGCAGGACCCCAGAGGAAGCCACTGACGTATTTCAAGCAGGGATGATGGTAGTGGATGTGGGAGGAACAAACGTGTCTTGAGCCCCTAGTATATGCCAGGCATTGAACACCATAGCCTTGCTTCAGTTTTCACAAAGCCATCAGATGGCCAGCATAAGCTTCGTTTTACAGGACAGAAAAGTAGAGTCTCAAACAGGGTATCGTTCTTGCCTTGGACCACACAGCGTGGTGTGAGGATCAGAAGTTTGGACATGGGCTTGTCACCTTGGCTCCTGGTCACCAGTGCTGAGTGGGCAGTGGGTGGGTAGAGCAAATGGTTTCCTGCCAAGCCTCTCTAGGATGGACTTCCTGGGTTTTGTTTACTGTAGTACACCTGTCCTCTACTCACTCATGGTCACATAGGTACAGCAAATACGGCTGGTAGAGAGAATGTGCCGGTAGAACTTGGACTGGCTGGTGGTGGACCCCTGTCACTGGTTGGATGCCCATGTTCCCTTTGTGCAGTGGTGGGCTCAGTGCTTGGTTCTGGGTCTGGAAAGTGCTTGGGAGTTGCTACTCCATCTGCAGTCTGGAATGACTCTCCACGAACTCTCAGGCCACCTTCTTTGCAGCACGTCATACCTGACTTCTTGCCCAACAGCCCTCACTTGGAGGTCTGATGGTGTTCCCAAGCTTCACAGGTTCCAAACTCTGCTCTGGGCTTTCCACATGAGCCCATCTGTCCCCATCTTCCCTACCTTTGTGAACAGTTGTTCTAGACTCTTTCTCTCAGACCCAGTCTCCCAGGAAGCCCTGCTTCAAAATTTACCCACAAATCAGCAGCTGTGTCAGGGGCCCAGGCTAAATACCTCAGCGGCTCAGGCTAAATGCCTCTGCACTCCTTCTGTTGTGCTGGCTAGTTTTTATGTCAGGGACAAAATCTTAATTGAGAAAAAAAAAATGCCTCCATAAGACTGGTCTGTCGGCAAGTTTGTAGGGGCACTTTCTTGATTAATAATATATGTGGGAGGGCCCAGATCTCTGTGGGTGTGGCCACCCCTGAGCAAGTGGTCCTGGATGGTATAAGAAAGAAGGCTGTACAAGCCCCAAGTGAGCAAGCTGATAATCAGCACATCTCTATGGCTTCTGTCTCAGCTCTAGAACTCACTCTGTAGACCAGGTGGCCTCAAACTCAGAGATCGACCTGCCTCTGCCTCCCTAGTGCTGGGATCAAAGACGTCTGCCACCAACACCCAGCTTAAAGCATATGTATCAGATTATGTCCTTCCTCTGCTTGGACTCTATAATGGCTCTTCTCCTACTTTGATTTAAAGCCAAGGTTATTTTGATGACTTCCCAGGCTCTCTTTAAGCTGGCCCTCCTTGTGCACCAGACCTTTCCTCCCTTACCTGACTGGGGCCAAAATAGCTCCCCACGATTCTCCTTGAACCTGCTGTGCAACTTACTACTTCAGGACCTTTGTTCCTGTTCTGCCCCCTGCCTGGAACATCGTTCTAGCTGGTGTCCAAGAGTCTGGCTCCTTCCTTCATGATTTCATGCCAACACCAGAGTTTCTGAGAGAGTTTTTCAAAAACGTCACAGTGGTCACTCCCATTCTCCTTCCCTATTTTCTTTCTGCACAGAACCGTGCTCTAGGAGCTGGGGGAGATAGCTTTGCAGGTAAAGGCATTTGCTGCCAAGACTGACATCCTGAGTTCAGTCCTTGGGACCCACATGGTGAAGGAGAGAAATGACTCAGTTGTTGTCTGACCCCCACATGTATGCCATGGCACATGCCACATGCACACCCACAATCACCCTCAGGTGCACTCACACCCATACCTACGCACAAAATAAACAAATAAATAATAGTAATAAACCCACCTCAATCCATTGCTCTGTAATCCTACTTACTGCGAGCAACATGGAGGCAGGGATTTTGTGTTTTGCTCACAGGAGTATTTTGGGTTTAGAATGGGTGCCTACAGTGTTTAGGAATGATTGAGTGACAGGTGTCAGGGTGACAGGGGTCTGTGAGACAGTGCCCTCTGATACAGGAAGAAGTTTGATGCTGGAACATCTCTCTGGAGCCTCTCAGCTGCGCCCACCAGTTTTTCTTGAAGCCACAGAGGTTCTTGCATGGCCAAGACCCCCACTTCCACTTAGGATCTGAGCCACGGGACTATTTGCTGGTCACAGCAGCAGCTCGGGTGGTTGAGTATTGGGTGGAGTCCAAGGAGCTTTGTGTTGGAGTCTGGACTCCCAGATCTGCCCCAGCTGTTCAACACACAGACAGCAAACTTCCCAGTGATTCAGTATGAGTCATAGACACTCAGTTTGTGACAAGGGTGGGACTGTTCCCTGACCTTGCTTGGAGAAAATGTTATGTTGTCCTGTAGAGACAGGCAGCATGCAGACCCTTGAAGACCAAATTTAGACTCGGGAAGATCTTTGCGTGGAGTAGACTTTTAAAACAGGAAGATAATGCCTTTGGGGCTTTGAGATCAAGGCAAAGAAGGAACATGGGACTACTAGGTAGAGAGAGACAGGGAGAGTGGAATATAGTCAGTTCTCTGTATCTGTGTCTCTGGTTTTAACCAACCACGAACTAAAAATGTTCAGGTGCAAAAACAAACAAATAAAACCCTAAACTGCGTGTCCTCAACATGTCTGATTATTTTTTTCCTTCCCACTGTTCCTTATACAATGTAGTGGTACAACTATTTTCACAGCATTTATGTCAAGTTCCTATAGCACAGGGGAGGGCGTTTGGTGGTTCTCTGCAGACCCTACATTATTTTTTATGCAAAGCACTCGAACAGCCAAGGGTTTCAGTTTCTCTTGGGGTCCTGAAACCAACCTCTTACTGATACAGAGGACTTTGTTAAAAAACATAAAACAAAACAAAACAACAACAACAACAAAAAAAAAAAAAAAAAGCAAAAAACTGGACTGGTGATGTAGCTGGCTTGGCAGAGTGCTTGCCCAGCAGATACAGAACTTTAAGTTTGATCTCTAGTACCATATAAACTGGGCACAGAGGTCCATGCCAGGAAGACCTGAAGCTCAAGGCCATTCTCAGTTACATGGCAAGTCTTAGGGCATCTTGAGCCACATAACAAAAGAAAATTGGCTGAGGGAGTGAGGCATGGGGACCAGGACTGAGAGACTGAGAGGAAGGATTGCAGATTGGAGGTGACTCTGAGCTGCAGTGAAATGACAAAATAACAACACAAAACGGCAGGAAAGTCTACTGCTGTGGAGTCAACCATAGGTCTTGGCTCTCAGATTCTCTCTGCTAAAAAGCTGACATTAGGTGAATTATGTAAGTTCTGGGTGAGTGACAGCCACTGTTATGGTTATCAGGAGGTCAAAAAGGTTGAAAAGGTTGTATAGCAGGGAACAATAATAATGATAATAATAACAAGAACAAACCGAGCAATTTAAAATGAGGGACAAAGCCAGGCATAGTGGTTTATACCTGTAATCCCAGCATCCAGGAGGCTGAGGCAGGAGAATTACCATATGTTCTAGGACAGCCTAGGCTACAGAGTGGAATCCTGCCTTTAAACACTGTGCGAGGGAGATAGATTTGGAGGCATGATGGAGTCAGAGCAGATTAAAAAGGAAGAGGTGCGCTCAAGAGACAGCAGGAGTCAAGCGTGAGAGGAGCACAGGGACTGGGAATAGGGAAGTCTCCTGGGGTTCTTGGGGAGGCTGGGGAGGAGAGCAACTGTGGGCCTCATTGGATCAGGATTGATGCCTAGGGTGTCCAGGCCTTGGTGTCCTGGAATCGTGCCCAGCACAGGGCCTGGTACATTGAGATACTTAGGAGTTCTGGCATCCCAGCCATGCTGGTGTTGCCAAGGTTACCTGCTGAGCTGCTCCTGGAGCGCCTGCAACTCTTCTTCCTGTGCCCGCAGCAGTTGCTCCTGGCGCTGGGCCTGTTCCTTTGCTAGCTGGAGCTCATACGGGGGTTTCTGGGGGACAAGATTGGAAAGGAAGAGTTGAAAGACAACAATCCCAGCTTGGGGTCCACCTGATGAACTTCCTATGAGACTTTAACCATGCCTATGGAAGCTGGGTGAGTCTGGGGTTACCACTTCTTTTCCAGAAATTGCCAAGTTCTTGGACCTGGAAGTCTGACTAGGAAGGAGGCTGAGAGCCATCTTGGGAGAAGCATGCCCAAGCTTTTTGGGGAAAGCACGTCAAAACATGACTAGTCTAGTCTGGGGTACAGCAAAAGAGCTTAGACACTGGGACACGTCTGCCCTCACAAGGGAGCCTGAACTTTGTGACCCAAAAGACTTGCTGGGATGTGGTCCCTAACTGAGTGCTGGCATGGCTAGGTAGGAAGTACTGTTGAGTGAAGTAGGCCTCATGGGAAGCAGTCATGAAAAGGGGCACCCTGTGAGTTGAGAATGTATGACTTTCAAAGGGCATCCCCAGATAGTAACTCCGAGAAGGCAAGCTAAAATTGATCTGTAGAGTTTTGTGTGATGGTACATGCCCATAACCCCAGCATTTGGGAAGTCAGAGGCAAGAAGATCAGGAATTCAAGTGCATCCTGGTTTTATAGCAAATTTCAGACCAGCCTGAGTTATAGAAGGTCTTTTCACAAACAAACAACCCCTTATACTGATCTGTAGACTGCACTGGCCTCAGGCTATCATTGTAGATCCCTTAGCTGCAAACCAGGTTAGACAGGAAACAATAGATAGGTACCTTGACCACCTCCTGCATGGGTACTTCTGCTTGATCCTCCTGTTTGGTCACACTGGTCACTCCTGCCCACTCTTGTGGTTTCTCTGTGGTAGACCCTTTCTTTATTTCTAGGCCTTGCAGGACCCTGGGCTGCCCCAGAACACTATGCTGACTCCACCCCTGCCTGTTCCCTAATGCTGTGTCTTTTACCCTTTCTTGAAGGCTGGGAGCCAGCTGCCCTTGGTCATGGTCCCAATCTGCTGCCTTTTCCTGGGTCCCTTCTGTTATTCTCTGACCTTGTGTCACGGGGAGACTTCCTTTGCCTTCATCTTCCATTCCTGTCACCTCCTTTTGAGCCTCCTTAGCCCCCTCCCTCTGTTGCTGGCCGCTGGTTGCTGAATTCTCCAGGGGTTTCCTGGTTTTTGGACCTCCCTCCTTCAGGCGTAGCTGAATTCCCTCCCCTTCTGTTTCCCAAATGCTCTGGGGACAAGTGAGGCTCCTGGAATCCCCTTTCTTCTTTTCCAAAAAGTTGGGAAGATGGCCCTGCTGCATAGGGGTAGGAAGGTCAGATTGGCGGTCTTCTCTGGGCGCAGGTGCATCTTGCAGAGAGCTGGTTCCACGGGTGTCTGGTCCCTGTAGCTGATCTCTGGAGAATCTCACCTGTAGAGGAAGTCCCATCTCAGCATCTGGTCACTGGTCTGCGACATAGCCCTGGGCCAACATGGTTTGCTTCTTCTTGGATTCAGAGGCTTGCTACTGGGAAAGCTACCAGAGGCGAAATAATCTCAGGCAGCACCTTCAGGAGACCCACAGGGCTGAGCTGAAGAACAGCAGGTGTCTCAGTTCCTCCCCTTCCTGCCTTCAGCCAGTGGCATTGCCATCTTTCTCCTGGGCTGATCTTGTCCCTCCACCCCCACCCCTCAATTCTCTTCCTCCACCTTCTCCTGTCACCTTCCCTGCTGTCCTTTGTTTTGTGTTTTTCCATTCTCCTCTCTGAAAGGGAAACAAGAATTCCTAGTTTATAGAGCGGTGATAGAATCTTAAACAGACAAGTGATTACTGTCAAGAAATCTCTCCCAGTGGGGATGTATCTCAGTGGTAGAACACCTGTCTAGGATGTGTGGCCCTAGATTCGATCCTCAGCATAACAGGGCCGGGGGAGCCTTCTCTGAGATGCCATTTTTCCTTTGGCCACATCTGTACCCTATAGTCATCCCTTGATACCAGGGGAGTTGGCTCCAGGACCTCAAGCTGGTGCTCAAAATGCCTGAATATTCAAGACTCTTCTTTAGCATGGTATAGGGTTTGCAAATAAGCAATGCACATCCCCAATAAGCTGAAGTACTTTTTAGATGATTTAACTACCCCACACAGTGTAGTGAGGTAGTCCTTCTGTAGCACTGATCACGCCCATCGCTCCACCCCCAATGCTATGTAAGTAGTTACTATACTACCTCATGTGTAGGGCTCTGAGGGAAAAAGAATCCACAATATTCAGAACCAATGCAATAATTTTTTTCTAAATATTTTGCATATGCGGTTGGTTGAGTCTACAGATGCAGAACCCATGGATGTGGAAGGCTGACTGCACACTTAGCAAAGATTGCAATGTGTTCCTGATCTGTCTCCATGAACAGCTCTTGAACTCTTTCAAGGTCTGAGACTGAGTCCTTAACTGTGCCACATCTGGTGCCTGGAAGCATGTGGAATGATGATAACTTTAAGCTGCCACATGAGAATAGAGCAGGAGTCTTGTGCTGAGCTGCATGGGGTTGTCTCAAGCTTTCTACACAACTCCCCTAGGCGGTAGGACCTTTAGCTGAGTTTAGGAAGGGGCAGAGCTGGGCTGTGCATTGGGCCATCAGGCTCTTTAGTCACTTCCCTAACTGACACAGGCCAATTGAACACCCAGCTCACGGATTTCAGTAGAAGTGGGCTCCATGGTCTGTTTCCTGCACGTCTCCAGCCACCCCTATTGCCCTCTCCTCCAGAGAGCCCCAGTGGCTCATGCAGCTTCTAGAGCTCCCTTGTTCTCCTTACCCCCCCTCCCCCAGAACAAGACTGCTGCCTGCTCCTTGCTCTCCTTGCTTCACACACTGCTCCCACTTCTGTTTAGCTCTCTGCACACCCACAGGAGGCCCTGCTCAGCTCAGGAGTTCCAGCAGATAGATGACCAGGAAGCAAGTCAGGGTGGAGACAGGCAGAGGCACCTCCTTTGGGAAAGCTTTGGGCTTTCTGAGTCTTCTTTCTTGGGTCTGGCTGGGATTGGAGCAGCGGGACCTGAAACCAAGAGGCAGAACACCTGGTGTCTTTAGTTGGCTTGGTCCTTTAGTGGAGGCTACCCCAACTTGAGAGCCACTCATTGAGACCGTTACGCTTCCTGTTTTCCACCTTTCCCCACACGGCTGACCATCCCATATTCCATCCCTACATCCATCACATTCTAGCATCCTGTCACTTATCCTTCCTTCTCACTTTCCACCCTGCCAATTAGTCCTTAGAAGCCTAGCTTGAGGAAAGATAAGGCTAAAGAGTGGGGACAAGGATCAAGAAAGGGAGGGAAGCAGGCTTTAAAGGGGGTAGGCAACCAACATTTCTACCCAGATATGGCACCCATGAACCACAATAACCAATATGTCATGATGACCCTAAGGGTGTAGTAGCGTTACACACACCTTGGTCATAACCAACAGCTCTCTAATTGGAATTAAGACACACTCAACAAGAGAGAAATCATACTTAGCACTAGAAACCTTGCCCACTACCCAGGGGTTATGAACTCATAGATCTTGGAGAAGAACCTACAACCACCACTTTACTAAGCCAGCATAACCCCTAGCTACATTCTAAATATTTGTCCTTATATACATAAATCAGAGCAGTCCTTACCCCTCATCAAGGAAGCTTCTCATTGCAACAGATGGAAATCATAACAGAAAACAACAACCAATACAGCTACATGTAAGGCTCAGGGATCATTGCAAAAGAGGGAGTTGGCTTGGAGGCTGTATCTTCCTGGAATGTCAGAATCTACACCAATAAAATCTCACCAACATGACTGCCTAAACATGAGCTGAACAAGGACAATAACAATAGACATGTTAACAAGAATGAGGGGAAAGTTCATGAGGATGCAACCCTACAAAAAGAACTACAGGCAAGTAAGAAATGCTAAGAGCAGGAGAAGCAGCCTTCCCACCTAATGGTTATACAGTACCAAATGGTTATTCCTAAAAAACACACATACAGATAACATTATTGAATTGTGTGTGTGTCTCACAACAATTAATGAAAAAAGAGCCCATGAATTTGAAGTAGGGCAAGGAAGAGTATATGGGAGGGTTTGGAAGGAGAAAGGGGAAGGGGGAAACAATATAATTATAATCTCAAAAAAAATGTTTAAGGGGAGGAAAGAATGGCTTAGGTTGGAGGCTGAGAGCCCACTCACTCTGAGAACATGGGCCAGGCTTCATCCAGGTCTGGCCGCTGCAAATCCAGGTTGAAGGTAACTCCATTGAGGGCGTAGAGAGAGTCCAAGATGTCTTCCTGGAGCTCAGGGCACAACAGAGGGCTCCGGGGCCCATACCATTCCCTGTGTGAAGAGGGACCAGCACATTTGGCCATTGCCACTCTTGACCTCTGAGCATGGGCACACCACAGGGGGACCTTCCCGGGCAGGTGCGGCTGAGCTCAGCCTCGGAGGGCAGAGGTTGAAACTCAGCTGAGGAGCCTTAAGCCCTTTCTCTTTTCTGACACCCATTTCCTTATCCCTAATGGCCAGGAGTGAAGGAGGATAGTGTCACACATGGCATGATTGCTTGGCAGTCCTACCTGGTGAGATCTGGGCTCAGGAGACACAGCTGTATTGACTCAGCCAGCTGTCCACGGGCGAGGCAGAGTCGGATAAAGGCTCGACCCTTTCCCAGAGAGGTCTTCAGCTGTGGGAGTGGGGAGGGCCAAAGAGAGGGCAAAATCAGGATGGGGAGCTGGGCCAAATCCAAGAGAGCACAGATGGAAATGAGATCGAAGGAGAAAGGGTGGGCCAAGGTTGGAGGAGAAATGTGTGGCTGGGGGTCAGGCTAGGAGGTCCAGTGAGGGGTGAGGAGCGGGTTAGAAGCCTTCTGTTAGTGGAGAGGGCATGAGTGACGGTAGGGTGCCGAGGGACCTAGGGAAGGGCTGTATGTACGCCTCTAGCCATTCTTTGTCCATTGCTGGCATCAGAGCTTTCTTGTGTGCCCAAGCCCACCCTCTTCCTCATCTCCTGCTCCTGTTACCTTGTTCTGTGAGCACACAAAGTTGGTCTGCTCCGTGTATCCCCGATGCGGTCTCAGAGCAGTGATCAGGAAGTCCCAGTAATCCTTCCGAGCCCCTAGGAAGCTCCTCTGCTCTTTCTGGTCAAACTAGGATCAAGATGAGTGAAAGGAATGTGAGCCAGGGCTTCCTTCTGGAACCTATCTAGCACCCTGGCTTGCTGGGAAGCACTGGGGAGAAGAAAGGGCCCCTGCAGACAGGCTTTTCTTTAGGGAGGGATCTGGCTCTGCCCTTACTTGCTGTGTAAAAGGTATTTCTCTCTCTGAGCCCAAGTTCACACTCATTCATTCACAAACACTGAGTACTTTCTTATTTTTCTGTTGTTTTTTGTTTATTATTATTATTATTGGGTTTTTGAGACAGGGTTTCTCTGTATTGCTTTGGAGCCTGTCCTGAAACTAGCTCTGTAGACTAGGGTGGACTCGAACTCACAGAGATCCACTTGCTTCTGCCTCCTGAGTGTTGGGATTAAAGGTGTGTGCCACCAACACCCTGCTCATACTTTCCTGATCTAAGGACTGTGAACAATGAACAAACCGACCTCATACAGCTTACATCTTGGTAGGCGAGTCAGAGGAAGTGTGTGTGTGTGTGTGTGTGTGTGTGAGAGAGAGAGAGAGAGAGAGAGAGAGAGCTGGGCAGTGGTGGCGCATGCCTTTAATCCCAGGACTGGGGAGGCAGAGGCAGGCGAATCTCTGTGAGTTTGAGGCCAGTCTGGTCTACAAAGACTACAGAGAAACCCTGTCTCAAAAAAAGAAAGAAAGGAAGAAAGAAAGAAAGGAGTGTGCTGTGTGTGAGAGAGAGACATACAGAGAGACTGAAATTTTAGCCTGAGGGTCATGTGAACAGATGTCATGCAAGTATCTAGGGAATAACATTCCAGACAGAGGGAATGCAAAGATAAAGGCCCCTAGACAGGTGCAACCCTGGTCTGCTATGGGGGTTAAGACAGTAGCAAAACTGCATCTCACTGTCAAGAGGTGAAGTCAGAGGAGGAGGAAGAGAAGGAGGAGGGATCTTTATGTTTATGTAGGGAGGGGGCTGGTGGTAATCAAGGACCTCAGGAGGTAAAAATGAGAGAATGAAGGCCAGTCCTAGGAGACAGTTTATGTCATGAAAGACTTGTTCGCTGAGCAAGGAGACAGTGCCTGGGAACCAGGAAGACAGCGGCTTGGGTACTTATCTGGGAAAGCACTCTTGAGTATTCAAAGCCAAGGAACAGCGTCAGGAAGGAGACCAAAGGGTGGGGGTCCCACCTGCAGCAGCAGCTCCAGGCAGCCACAGAGTCTGTGTAGCTCCGCACTGGCGTCTGTCACCCTCCCTTGCCCGTCCCCATATCCCTGGAGGATGGCAGAAACAGCATCTGCAAGGAGGAGGGTAGACGGCAGACATCAGGGAGCCCGACCTCAAAGGGGATGCTCTCCAGACCTCTCCCTTATCCTGCAGCTCACCCCCAGAAAATCTGACAGGGCAGACTCACTTTTCAGGTTCCTAGTGACCTTCAGGATGGCCCCCTCTTCTGCCATGAAGACTTGGAGTGATGTGATTCTCTGTGATTCTCTGAGGTCAGCTGCCCACTCTCCTTATGTATAGATGGGTGAGAGTCCAGAATTGAGGGAGAATGAGAACATACTGGGGTCACACAATGAGTTAACCTGCAGAATGAAAACTAACTCTTCCTTTCTTTCCCTTAAGGTTTTCTTTGGGGGGGTGGGGGGGTGGTGGTGGTGGCACACGCCTTTAATTCCAGAACTCAGGAGGCAGAGGCAGGTGGATCTTTGGGAGTTCAAGGCCAGTCTGGTCTACAGATAGGGTTTCAGGACAGGCTCCAAAGCTACAGAAAAACCTTGTCTCGCAAAACAAAACAAAACTTTAAAAAAATAGTTTACTGAGTACCCTGCATGGAATCCAAGCTACGGCTTGAAGGTCAGTGTATAAAGATATGAATGTGGTCTCCACTTATCGGGTCGTGCCTGGTGTCAGTCACCCTGATCATGGCTGACATCTTTAGCTCATTCGATTCTCTTAGTAGTCTCCAGAGTGCACTGATACACAAGATGACTGGGCACAGAGATGGTAAATCTCAATCCAGTATCACAAAGCTGTAAGCTGAACTCATATCTGTTCACTTAATATGGGCAGAAGGCCTGTGCCGTGCAGACACCTGGCTGGGGAACTATCACCTCCTTTCCTCTTGGTTAGCCTTCGAGCCTCAGCAGTGTGTCATCGCCTTGAGACCTACATTAATCCTTTCCAGGGCCCCAGCTGAGTGGAAAATATGTGCTCCCTGGGGAAAGCAGCAGAGCAGAGGTGCAGAGTTGGAACTGAACCCAATATTGGATGTGAGGACAGCAGTGTCTGGGTGTTCCCCCACCGTCCCCTCACCTTCTTCTGCCTCCAACTGGCCCTGGGACTCAGAGAGGGGCGCCGTTGCCTTTGAAGGATGACGAGCTTAAGGCTAAGGTCCTGGCATGGAAGTCAGGTCTAGGTCTAGGATGAAAGCCCAGGTGTCTGGCCTCCAAGGCAGCAGTGATGGCGTCTGTGGGTGGGGTAGCAGCCCTGTGTCAGTGGCTCACAGGGAAGAAAGGAGAAAGAAGAAAAGAGAGAGTGTGTGGGGGGCCCAGAGGACACAGGGCCACCCTGGACTTGTTGCTTACTCACCGTGTGTCTTCCAACAGTTCGCTCTAACCCAGTTTCCTCATCTGTAGACAGAAGATCAGACAGAAGTTCTTTATGGACCTTCAGGATTCCTCTAGCCCGTCCCCAAATCCAGGGACTCTCCGTGCTCACCTGGGAAAAGTCTGCCTGGTTAGGGTGTGGGCAGCAGGGCTCTGTGGCCTGAGTATGTGTCCCTTGTGACTGTGGGCTCTGCACAGCCCTTCCCAGCTCTCCTGCCTGGGGAGTGACTCAGGCCCAGCCTGGAGAAGGCTGGACCAACCCTGTCAGGGAGAAGTAGTAGAGAAAGATTAAGGGCACCGAGGCAGAAGGGTGGCTCCCTCAAGCTGATCTTGCATAGGGCCTGTTGGTGGTCTAACACAAAACCTATAGAGGCCTCCTTTCCCGGGCACCAGCTCCTGTCTTTCTGTCTTGTTGCCAGCAGATGGCAGAAAGAGGCTGGCTGAGGCGCTACAGTTTCTCTCTGGCTGTTTTCCTGTCACTGGGCTGGAGGTGGCACAGGTGGAGAGAGGACAAACGACCACCAAGTATCTTCCCCTCTTCTTTACCCCGGCCAGCTGAGCGATCTTTGTCGGTGTTGGGGCCTTCCTTCCATTCCTGGTGCACACTTCCCGGGGACGGAAGCGAAACGCCCAGTGAAGTGCCAGGTGGGCTACTCTTGTAGGGTGGCCTCTCTGCTCTAACCTCGCTCAGCTTCCCGACGTTGGGGGTCATTCTTTTTCTAGCCCAGGCCGGCCCGGGGACTGGGCCTGGTAACTGGGAATCGAGGGTTATAGGGACTTCTAGAACTACTTTTACAAGGTAGACCAACCACCTGTTAGCAGGGCACAGAGCGATCCCCAAACCTGCTGTTCTCTGTTCCATGCCTCGCCCTTCTTCCCGGTGCAGAACTCGATCCCCCCACACCGGTCCTCCCTGCTCTCTGTCCCCCACAGATCCCTTCTCTGATGTCAGTCTCTCAGTTGCTGGTTGCTCTCACACTGTTGCTCTCTTTCTCGCGCTCCGAGCTCAGCCTGTCCCAGGGACTCGGCTGCCTCCCGCCCGTCCCGCGTTCCCGCTCCTTCGGGTCCCCTCCCCACCGTCGGCCTCCTGCGTCCTTGTCGCCGCCCCTCGCAGGGCCCCCGCACTCCCACAGCCTGGCAGAGCTGGGGCGGAGGCGGAGGCGGACTCCGACGGGGCGGGCCGGGGGCGTCGCCCTCCTTCCCCGCGTCGCAGACGCCCTGGGCCAGGAGGTCGCTGGGGCTGGGGGCGGACCGGCTCACGGGTAGTCCGCGTCCCCGCCCCGGGCCCGTCGGGCGCCGGGCCGGATGGGCTGCACCGTGAGCCTGGTGTGCTGCGAGGCGCTGGAGCCCGCGCCCCCCGGGACTCCGCCGGGCCCTGTGCGGCCCGAGCGCTGTGAGCCCGGGGGTGCGGTGCGAGCCCAGGGGAGGAGGCTGCTGCTTCAGGTAGAGTGCTGCGGGCTGGGTGCGGGCAGCGGGCGCGGCAGAGCCCAGTCCACCTGGGACAGTAAGGAGTCTGGGAGAGTGTGGGCTGGAACGTGGGAGGTCCCTGCGGTCAGTTCCGTGGAGGTCACACCTGGGGTGCTGTGTCCTTGAGCAGAGGGTGCCTTAGAAGGGCAAATACCTGTGAGGTGTTGGGGGCAGGTTTGTGACCCAGCACTGCCGAGATTGAGGCGGGAGGATTATAATCCAAGGCCAGCGTAGTGAGATCGTTTCTCAAACAACCTGCACCCGACCCAAACCTAATACACAAAGCAAAAACAAGAAGAAAGAGGAAAGAGAAAGTGGCAGAGAGAGGGAGCGGGAGGCAGCACGCAATTAGTTCGGGTGAGAATTTGGAACCACCAGAGGGTGCTGGGCCAAGGAGGGAGAGTAACAGCCCCTTAGTTTGGGGTGGGGAGGCAGAGTAGTGGCTGTTTTGGTCTCTTCTACCAGGAGGTAGGGCTGTCAGAGCCAGCCTGGCCCACAGCAGGGTGTGAGGGGGTGGTGGGACAGAGACAGCATAAGGGAAGATCGAGGCACCAGTGGGAGAGGTGGGGAGGTGGCATTTAGCTCTTCGCCCCCCCCCCTTTTATGGCTGGATGCGAGGAATTGGCCAGAGGCAAAATAGCGATGAGCAGGGAGGCAGGTGCTTGATGTGGGAGATCAGGCTAGCTGGACATCCCAGGCTTTGCATGGGCTCTGCATTTCTCCGGAGAAAGAAACTATTTTGTGTTAGCAGGGACTGGGGTCCTACAGTTCTTTCTCTACGGGAGAGTCAGGGTTGACTCCAAATGCATCCTGCAAGCACATCCTAGCTCCTCCTCGTGGACAGCAGGGAGGCCAATGTGGCTATGTGTACTTAGGTACGCGTGCAAGAGTGTGTGAAGTGCCCAAGAGGCCCCTCTGCACCCCTTGACTGGCTGTCCCT